AACAGCGTTTGAGGATATGGTACGTTTAACATTTGACTTCGTAATGTAAAGATTATTTTAATGCAAAATTATAAATAGATTTCTGTTAAATAAAATACACTTACTTGTTTTTTGCTTCCCTTTCCGTTTATGTTATAATTTAATATTTTGGAAGATACTTAAATATAAAAACAGACATTTTTGTTTCTTACAAGATTATGACAATTGAACATTTTCATTTATTTTTTTAATGAACTTTTTTATTTTTTGCTTTTTACTAAATTTTAACTTTTTTAACCTATTTTTAGCTATTTTTTAAATTGCTTTTTTACACATATGAAGCCTTTTTTCTTCATTTTAGATCTTTTCATTTAATATAACACTAACAAATAAAATGCATTTACATGCATAGACATGTATACACATACATATCTACATATGTATGTATATGTAGATATGCTTGTAAAACAGAAAACGAACGACCGCATGAAAAGGAATCAAGAAACTAACAAAATTTCAACACTTTTTTCCTACATTATTTGACAACTTTTCAAATAGATTTTTATGCACTGGCATTAAACAACATTTAAATTATAATTTTCTGCAAAAATATTTAATTTAGCACTATTATTTAAATAAAAAAATAAACATTTTCTAAGACACTTCTAATTAACATCCGTACCGTGTGAAATTTGCGCGTAAACTGATTTTGGTACTGAGAAAACATAAAAAAGGTACATTTGGCTGAAAGCTCCTCATATGACCATTGAAGTAAGAAAGAATGAGTTAGTATGCGCAATTAACTTTAATACATTGATTATATTAGTAACTGGTGTTAGATGAGTGGGAGGGAGACATATAGTCTGAACGGAAAAAAAGTGTTTTTTATGACCGCAATACAGTGGTATGGGAAAAATAGGACTAATAAATATTTGACATATTAATAAAACGTAAACGGTAAAAACATGCAATTTAATATGAATTTCTTTGAAAACTGAAAAATCAAATAAAAATGATGTAATGATTTTAGCTAGTTAGTTAGTTAGTTAGTTAGTTAGTTAGTTAGTTAGTTAGTTAGTTAGTTAGTTAGTAGGTTAGTTAGTTAGTTAGTTAGTTAGTTAGTTAGTTAGTTAGTTAGTTAGTTAGTTAGTTAGTTAGTTAGTTAGTTAGTTAGTTAGTTAGTTAGTTAGTTAGTTAGTTAGTTAGTTAGTTAGTTAGTTAGTTAGTTAGTAGTTAGTTAGTTAGTTAGTTAGTTAGTTAGTTAGTTAGTTAGTTAGTTAGTTAGTTAGTTAGTTAGTTAGTTAGTTAGTTAGTTAGTTAGTTAGTTAGTTAGTTAGTTAGTTAGTTAGTTAGTTAGTTAGTTAGTAGTTAGTTAGTTAGTTAGTTAGTTAGTTAGTTAGTTAGTTAGTTAGTTAGTTAGTTAGTTAGTTAGTTAGTTAGTTAGTTAGTTAGTTAGTTAGTTAGTTAGTTAGTTAGTTAGTTAGTTAGTTAGTTAGTTAGTTAGTTAGTTAGTTAGTTAGTTAGTTAGTTAGTTAGTTAGTTAGTTAGTTAGTTAGTTAGTTAGTAGTTAGTTAGTTAGTTAGTTAGTTAGTTAGTTAGTTAGTTAGTTAGTTAGTTAGTTAGTTAGTTAGTTAGTTAGTAGTTAGTAGTTAGTTAGTTAGTTAGTTAGTTAGTTAGTTAGTTAGTTAGTTAGTTAGTTAGTTAGTTAGTTAGTTAGTTAGTTAGTTAGTTAGTTAGTTAGTTAGTAGTTAGTTAGTTAGTTAGTTAGTTAGTTAGTTAGTTCGTTAGTAGTTAGTAGTTAGTTAGTTAGTTAGTTAGTTAGTTAGTTAGTTAGTTAGTTAGTTAGTTAGTTAGTTAGTAGTAGTTAGTTAGTAGTTAGTTAGTTAGTTAGTTAGTTAGTTAGTTAGTTAGTTAGTTAGTTAGTAGTTAGTTAGTTAGTTAGTTAGTAGTTAGTTAGTTAGTTAGTTAGTTAGTTAGTTAGTTAGTTAGTTAGTTAGTTAGTTAGTTAGTTAGTTAGTTAGTTAGTTAGTTAGTTAGTTAGTAGTTAGTTAGTTAGTTAGTTAGTTAGTAGTTAGTAGTAGTTAGTTAGTAGTTAGTTAGTTAGTTAGTTAGTTAGTTAGTTAGTTAGTTAGTTAGTTAGTTAGTTAGTTAGTTAGTTAGTTAGTTAGTTAGTTAGTTAGTTAGTTAGTTAGTTAGTTAGTTAGTTAGTTAGTTAGTTAGTTAGTTAGTTAGTTAGTTAGTTAGTTAGTAGTTAGTTAGTTAGTTAGTAGTTAGTTAGTTAGTTAGTTAGTTAGTAGTTAGTTAGTTAGTTAGTTAGTTAGTTAGTTAGTTAGTAGTTAGTTAGTTAGTTAGTTAGTTAGTTAGTTAGTTAGTTAGTTAGTTAGTTAGTTAGTTAGTTAGTTAGTTAGTTAGTTAGTTAGTTAGTTGTTAAAAAATCTTGAAAATTTATTAACTTCGAACCCTCATAAAATCTGTAGCGTTAAGTATTTGGAAATGTATATAGGATGCCTTTCTGTTTATCTTTTATTAAGAATTGCCTATTGTTTCCATTATTTTCTTACCACTGTATTGCTATCATAACATTCTTTTACTTTTTACACTATACATCTCTTTCCCACTCATCTAACACCATTTACTAATATAATCAATGCTGTAAAGTAAGTTGCGCATTCTTTCTTACTACCATGGCCATATAACGAGCTTTTAGCAAAATGTACCTTTTAAATTTTTTCTGAACGCCAAAATCAGTGTACGCGCAAATTTCACACGGTCCGGATGTCAATTTGAAGTGTCACGGAAAATTTCTATTTTTGCATTTAAATAATAGTGATAAATTAAATATTTTTGCGGATAAACATACATAATTTACATGTTGTTTAATGTCTGTACGTAAAAATCTATATGGAAATTTGTAAAATAATGTCGGAAAATTGTGTGTAAAATTGTTGAAATTTTCTTAAATTCCAGATTCCTTTTTGTCGTTCTTTTGTTTTACATGCATACAAATATACAAAAATGCATTGTGTACATACATGCATATGTATGTATGTATGTTGGTGTTTGTATTAATCTAAGATGAAAAGAGCTTAGGGTAAGATAAAAAGCTCAAAGTTATTATGATATATGATGTTATATAAAAGTGTTATATTAAAGTTATTAAAAAGGAAGTAAATTTGAAGTTAAATGAAAGCTTTATATAAGCAATATAATAGATATAGTAATATGAGCTTGATGTTAAAAAATGAAAATGTTAATTAAGAAAATAAGTGTAAAATATGCAGTTAATTGAAATAATTAAAAAATGAATAATATGATCTTATATATCTAATATCTTTTGAAAAATCCAATTACGTATGTATACATATGTATGTATAATTAAAAATTCAATGACAGAGAGGAAAAGGAAGCGAGCAACAAGTAAGTGCATTTCTTTTAACATAAAGCTATTCAAAGTAATATTAACATTGCAATGATGAATGTTGTTAACATTAGTTTGAAAAAGCTTGTTTTCTCGTACATAAAATAAGTGCAGGCATAAACCAATTGTGTTGCCAGATATTTTTTTCATCAAAACGTTGAAATAAAAATGATTAGCATTTCTTTAATTTTAATTTTTTGCTCGAAAATTGAGCATCTTGATATTTAATTTAATAACATGGACTAAATCCGATTTCTGCGCTTTATTTCTTGCTGGAACGATAATTGTATTAGTATATTATTTGTATGTACATTAGAGGCTTTTTAAGAATTTTATGTAGGAATGCCACTCAATCGATGCGTATTAATGTACTGAACACGAGACAAATAAAAAATATTTTTTGGAATGGTTCTCCGTTCCCTACCAGCGATTGAAAATCCTGACCTCAGTATAATTTTAAAAAAATAAAATATTTTCGATTTTTTCGAAATTGGTTTCAAAAATTCCGTAATTTTGAGCTGATTACGGGAAAAATAATTTTAAAATTTTTGTAGAATATTTTTTGGTCCACAAAATGATTTTTAGTGGGTTAGAGAGGCATATTGTTTTTGTTTTTTATCGAAATGGGTGTCAAATTGACACCCAAATAACTTTCAGCTTTTAAAGTTGAAATATGATAGATTTTATCACCTAAGTGATATCGTTTCGATAAAGCGTTATAATATCGTAGGTTTATTGGGTTTGAAGAAGTTAAAACAAAATCGATCAGAATAACATGAAATTAAAACCATTTCGATTGGAATATGTATTCAATGACATGATATTGTGACAAAATTTGTTGGTGATACAAAAATCTGATATCAGATTTGCTTTCAGCAGCTACATATAAATAAAAAAATATATGTAAGTCAAATAGGTTTTATTTACAAGTTGTCTGGTAGCAGTGTTTACTTACCAAAATCCAAAAACCAATAAAAACAAATTTTCTTCAATTTAAATGGAAATGTAATTTATTAAAGAAATTTCGTTATTAAATTTTTTTTTTTTTTTTTGAAATGAATAAAATAATTAATTAAATTTATTTATTTTTTGTTTTTACACAATAGTTTTCATTAATTTTTGCTTTAGTAAATATACATTTTAAACAAATTTATTATTATTAGTTTTTCCTTTTTCGAAATAGTGTGATTATTGTAAAAAACAGAGGCTCAATAATTATTAATATTTTAAAAGTGCAGTGCATTTAAAAATTCAAAAAATTTTATTGATTTAATTAAAATGTCTTAGATAAAGGGAATAATATATAGTTAGTAAAGATAGAGAGATATAGTTGCAGAAGACAAAATTAATATACAAAAATTTTATTTTAAATTATTATAGATTTTCTTTTTAAGAAAATAAATAATAAATAAAAAACATTTACTTAAAACTAAATTGGAATAGGTAAATAAACACAATAAGAAGAATTTACATACACAGAAATATATATATATATATATATATATATATATATATATAAAACAAAAATTAAGAGAAGGAAGAACACAGTTAAGAAAATACATATGTATGTATTAATAAATTGTTATAAATATAAACATACATAATAATTTTATATATTTTTTTTTTTATCAAAAGTCCAATTATAACAAAGAAATTATTAGTTTTTTTTTGTTTATAAAAAAAGTATTAAACCACACTTGTACAATTATTTTCAAAATAATCAAATGGAAATTTACCAATAATTTCGAAATGCCAATAACAGCAAAACCTGTAGCTTAGGAATAATGCAAAAATATATATAATATTCATATATTTGTTTTATATTTTTTTATATATATTTTGTTTAGACTTAGAAAAAGTTAATTTATTTATGTTATGAATTATATTATTATCATTATTTTTGCACATGTTAACTAATTAATATAAAAGCCACTTAAGGCAAAGGCTTACTAATAATGCTGCAAATGCATAAGCTGAAGCTCTAATCACCAGTGATTGGGGCAGGGCACTCCACAGCGATGAATGACTTTGTGTGCTAGCATTATGTGGTGCATATTGCAAACGCTCCAATTTCGAATTGATCAATAGCAATTGTCGCTTATGATCATCCAAAGATTTATTAATCTGATCTACGGCCAGCATAAGTCTATAAAGAAAAAAACATTTTTAGAAATAATATATTATTTTTAAAAACTTTTATTTAACTTCAATGCAATTTCAAACATTTTTAAATATATAAAATATTTACTAAATATCAGGATTCGTAAAAATATCAATTTTGTTAATTTTGAGGTCAATTTCTTAAAAAATGTTTAAATATTTTCAAAATATAAGAATTAAAACTTACTTTCTTATAGTTTGTGATGAAACTGGTTGATCACATATAGTAAAGTCATCGTGTGATTGACTAGAATCTGAATTATTTGGATCATTACTGACCAGTGCTGCTGTGGATTTATTTTTACGTTTAGCCTTCATAAGAACCATTGATGATTGTCTTGGATCTACACTCACTATGCTAGCGGTGCGCACCATGGGTGCTTGGTGTCGTGTTTTAGTTAATACTTTATAATCCCATTCATATTGTTTAACATCGTTGCGAGGATCCCAGGGTCTTAGATCGGCGTATTTGTAAATCCACTTTAAAATAGAATATGATAAAAATGTTATATGAAATATAACAAATAATAAAAGATAACAATTTTAAATTACCTTGCCAGTAATTAAATCTTGTTGAAAATGTGCCGGTTCCCATTCGGCGAATGTAGCCTTACGCTCTTTAGCCGCATTACGTTGTTGTTCTTCCAGTACGGTTTTCTCTTCGGTAGCACCTACTTGATCATCACGTGCAATGGCGGCCGACACTAAATTCCACAAGCGTTCGGACTCATTGGGCAACTGAGACTCAAGTGGTACCACATAACGTAATAAACGCTTTTTCATTGTTTCACGATTGGCTGCAAACAATACAGAATCCTCACCGGATTTACCATCTTTAATACGCATTTCACCATCCCAATGACCGCTAATGGTAGCCAACGTCTCTTTGCCCAATTTTATTTTGCCAGCAATAATATTAGTACTATCCGAACCGCCCAAGAAAGGTTTCAGCTTGAATTCCAGCTCCGTCTTGTAACCAGTATTCTCACAATCGATATTAATTTTACCACCCAATTCCATGGAAAGCGTACCCATGAGAATACCTTTGCAATGGGCATAAGGTGTGGTTAACGTATAACTTTCTCCACGCGGCAAGAGAGTTAACGTAGCCACACCTTCTAGCACCGCCGAAGTGCTATTGCCGTAAAATTTTGACTTGGCCAAGATGGAACAACTGATGCAGAAACCTTCTTGGCGATTTGTAACGTAAAATGCCGAAACCGGAGGATGATGCGAGACCTGCTCGGCTATATAGTAAGTGCGACTACCATTAGGATGTTCCCAATAGCAACGGAACGTTTCACCCAATATGGGATTGTAGGGCTTCTTAAGACCTTTAGGCTTCTTATAGAAACCCGATAAATACCATTGCACAACGAGTTTCATGCGTGTAAAAGGATCATCTTCATTAACAGCTCTGTAAGAATGAAATTTATGGGTTTTAAATATTAATATTTAGAATAGAACCATTTATTTTTAGGCTGTTTTTCCTAAATTTCAAATATTTAACAAAATTTTTATTTTTTTATACTTTTAAACTTTAAAATAAAATCAATTAAATTCAAACATATTTCATTTTACCTTGATAATATATCAGCATGATAATATGAATCCGAGAGCTTGTCCAGAAATGAACGTGGTTCCAATATGAATGTAGGTAAAACAACTTTACTCAGATCCATACCTGGACGGACTTGTTTAACCAAACACCATATTAAACTTTTATTCTCTTCAGCCAATTCTTCAACTTGTTCACCACTTTGCTAAATTTGTTTAATTTTATAAAATTCAATTAAATACAAAATTTACACATGAAAATTATTTCATTACCCACCGTATTTATTTCCTCCTCTGGCATTGGTATATATGGCGTCTCTATAGGTTCTTCATTGTCAATTTGTTGCAATTGATTATCGACACCAATGACATCATTGCCATCCGAATCAGAATCTGTATCTATGCCCGACATTATACCTGTGGGAGCCTCATTTTGACTATCGCCATCAAGATCTAGTAAGAAAACAGTGAATTGTTTACAATCGTAGTTATAAAAAAGGTTTATAGTTTCTTTTTAGTTATTAAAGGTTAATTCACCTACTGCTAAGTGATGTTTTCTAGGGAATTAGAGAATAATATGGTTTTATTTTTCTGAAATGTCTTGAGAATTTGAATATTTTAAGGTGACATTTGTTAAAAGTTTTTGTGTATGAAGAAGAAAAAAATATGTATCAACATGAAGAAAAGTTGTAAAAACTTTAAAGAGGACCTTTTAATCTTCTAATCCAGCTCACAAAATATTAACACTTGGACAAATATGTTGAGAAACTCAAGCTTTTTTAGAAGGGAACAACTTTTAACAGCATAAAACTGTAAAACTTTTAAAAATGAACGAAGCAGACTTAAGAAATATGATATACCCTAGTTGGACATCCAATTTAAAAGATGCATTTAAATCGTAAGGAATACATGGGGTCAATGAAGCATTTTCAATCCTAACATCTGCAATATTATAAGATCTCACAATTATGTAGGTACAACTCCGAAGAATGAACTAGAATAAGTTTAGGAAGTTCGTGTATGACAAAAATTTCCTACGGGGGGTTTTCGTCATTAAACAGTGGTTAGAAATTAGAGGATAATGATCTAATAGAACTAAACTAGAAGTATGTTGAAATACCCAAACTTATAGGCGTATCGTGTACAGCGATTTCTTACGAATAAAAACGTTAAGCAAGTTCGTGCTTTCGAAAAAAGAAAAGTTTAAAGTGGCGGCTAGTTAGAACTAGCAATTTATAGGTAAAAGAAGTCAAAACTACTTATAGTATTTTTAGCATTTCCCCATACTATATTACACGATCTAATAAATTTTTTTAAAGTTCTTAAAAATATCCTAATTTATACGTATATGTGGATGGTAATAAACTATATAGAAAGTAATAAAAATTCGATAAATTTTATAGTTGATTCTTAAATGATCACTTCAAATGAAAATGTAATTCTAATAGTCTACGTTAAATCGATTTGTTTTTATATAATCAAAAGAAATCTAGCCAACTAAAGTATATGATGATTTTTAATAATCCCAACCCTTTAAGTAAAAGTAGTAGTAGCATTAATACCGGGTGGACAACTAATAGATCGTGATGTTACAACATTCATTGATAGACTTTTCTGTAACATTATTGGTTCATATTCTTCATCGCTAGATGATGTTGTTGTGTGAACCGAACCCAATGATTGCGATTTGATTAGAGGAGCTTTGAATGTTTTACGTTTTTTATTCATCTTTAAAGATGTCGATAATTTTGGTGAAAAATCAACACTGGATGCATCGCTATAATCACCACCAGTATTTTTCTTCGACTTATGTAGTTTGCGTAACTTTTTATTAAACTCTAGAGCATTTGAACCAACTAAACGCTCCCAATTGGTCATGGACAAGTAGAGTTGTTGTAATAAGGGGGTTTGGGTACGAGATGATACTATACTAACTTCAGAGCCGTGTGGTGATTTATGTAGATAATCCATATCGGGTACTGTGAGATATTGTGACTTACGTATCACCAATTTGTGTAATTTTTCTTAGTTTAATTGTGTTAAGAGTTAGTGTTAAATAATAAAAAGTTTGTAATTATTTTGTTTAAAATAAAATACCAATAAAAGTATTTAAAATCTTACCTTGATCATCGAAATGTTTTTCATAATCAGCCTCGGACCATTGGGTTTCATGTGATATAGAAGCCTCGACGGTACCAGTGCCTTGATTAGTTCCTGGTGTTGAATTCGAACGCAACAATAGACCCGAACAGCGTAGTGACAACTCTAAGGCGTCCATCCAACATTTACCAGCTGCTTGACTTGGAGCCCTAAATATTAAATATGCTGTTGGCAAAGGTTGTGTAACGGCGCCTGTAAAGGATATAAATAATAGATGGGGTGATTAAAATAAGGACACTTATTTTGTTATAGGATTATACCTATAGTTTCCTTATCGGGTCCTCTGGGTGCCCATATGGATTGTTCCAAAGGATGAAATAGTTTAAAACAAAAACCATCCTTTTTACTGGGCCTCTCAATAACCTGACATGATGTCAACAATATAGTCCCCACCCAATGACTACTTTTAGTCTTAGGACTTTTATAAATTAGCAATAAGCCCGGCTTTAAGACACACCATAGTTTTGTCCACGACTTTAGGGTTCCGCGAACCTAGAAGTAAAGAAAAAATTAAATTATTATAATCAACATTTTGCATATCGCTCATTCAGTTCTTTTTCGTTTTCTATAGTTTTGTAAGAATCGGTCGAGTACACGACCCAATCCTTATTAGTTACGCATACAAGGTCTTCAAAATAAAACATTCAGTTTCATTATTTTGGAAATTTTTTTATTTAATCATTTATTTAATCTCAAATTTATATAATAAAATAGCCCTTTATAACATTCACAAAAATTCCTATATCTTTAGTGTGAAAAATGAGCTCACATGCAAATTCATTTGCTTCCGCCAACAAACAAAATTAGTATTTTTCTTGGCGATAGTCATATGAAATAATTTAATTTAAAAATAAAAAAAAAACATTTTAATTTCCTCTAAACAATAGACCTATTTAATAAATAAGATCTTTATGTTATAGTCCGTAATTTTTTTCTCCATTGCAAATTAAAACTAATTTTATTTCTAATAATGTCGTTAACACCAAGTTGTGTACAATTTCATTTCAACAGACTTGACTGAGCGATAAATAAAAATATAAATAAATTCAATTTGTTTGCAATTAAAACGCTAATCAATTTTGAGGAAAGCGTTTAATTAATATATCAATGGCAATAATAAACAGAAGAATAATAAACATTCAAAATTAAATATTTAGAAATTCAATATAAACACTGTCGTTCGTGAGTGGTGGGTGTTGGTGCGAATTTTCTTTTTGTTCATTTTTTGTGTAAAGGAAATGAAAGGGAATTATGAATTAAATCAAGGAAAAACTACAAAAGTATGAAAATTTTTTAATGTACTAAATTATGTACAAATATGTATATAATATAAAAAGTGGGACCGATTTTAAACACCAAATATCAAACAACGATTTTTTTCCGTAGGGGTATTTTCACTTTCCTATACCTTAAAAATGCAAAAAGGGAAAAAAGGAATAATTGTTCATAACTAGCCTGATAGTTTTCAAATTCTCACCCCCAGATCTATTGTGACTCACAGATGGCCCGACCTGAAACTCTATGAAAACTACGACAAATGTTAGAATCAGCTCAATATTTTAAACAATATATTCCCATAGCTTTTATTTATCTTAAAATAATTAATTGTAATAATAGTTACAAAAATCAATTTGTATAAATCCCATAATCTACTAGGATTTTCTTTATGGGTGCGTAAAACATCCTACGCGATTTATTTAAAATTCAATTTAAATTTATGTTTCTCCACACCTTTTTGTTTATTTTTACAAAAAAAAAGTACATACACCCAGCAAAAACTTACATTTGAAAGTAAGGGGTTTAAATGCTAAAATTAACTTACACAATAGCATTTCAAGTCATTATTTCAACACGGTGATGACAAAAAAATAGCCTACGATGATACGTCCACTGCGTGTTCTATTAGTTTTGACAAAAAAAAAAACTACAAACGTCAAGGCTAAAAAGCAAGTACTTATGTGTATAGTTATTTGTAAGTCATTACTAGACTTCTTCTAAGTAATACAGACTTTATGTAGTAGTCATTGAAAAGTAACCCAGAGAAAAATTTGTAATGACTTGCAATTGTAACCACTTACCTATTAACATACTTTTCAATGACTACTACATATCGTTCTGATTACATAGAAGTATTTTAATAACTTCTTATTAATAATGTGTTATATAAATACTTACTAATTCATTAATCAGCTTCTGCACGATTTTTCTAATTACTTGTAAGCGATTGTGGTAAGTACTTGTCTCCAATAACATCATGATTTAAAATCCTATTGTGTAAGTAAATTTTAGCATTTTAACCCCTTACGTGGTAATGAAAGTTATTGAGTAAGTACAAGTCATTACCATGTTTTTGCTGGGCATATATATACATATACATATAACTCTAGCAATAAATCTAAACAAATTATTTATTTCTTTATTATTATACTACGGGTACAAACATCCGGCATTGTACGGTTCAGGTTATAGTTTTTTCAGATCATATATTTTATATATTTTCTCAATAGGAACATTTTTTAAGGCTCCATAGTCGATTTTAGGTTTTACTCATAAATTAGTTTTTTATGGAACATACGATCACTAAACCGTTTTATCTAATTTTTAACGGAAAATATGAGTGATCACGTTGTGATTTTTCCATTGAAGTGTCAGAATTTTAGATGTCATTCCGATTTTAAGGATCTTATATACAAATATATTTTTATATTAATATATAATAGTATATAGGATAAACGATTTTCTTACCTTTAGCCAATCTGCCAATACAATCACAGCCGGATCTTGCAATGAATTTAACAGTTCAGATGCGACACGTTTCTTTTCACGCCTATAGTTTTTGCGTTGCGCTTTATAGGATTCTTTACGATTAAGTTTAGATGTGTCTGTTGATGTCTGTAACAGAAAAATAAATACATGTGATTATTCAAATTATTATTTATTTTTTTTGCAAACAACTTAGGTTTTATACGTATATTGTTAATATACTTTAAGTTTCATACATACTTGTATGCCAGATAATAATAGATAATTTATTTTAAAATTATAATAAAATTTTCTCATAACTATAAAAAGGAATTTAACCATGTCTGTTCATATGTTTGTCTATGTTGATGTTGACCTTGTGGCCAAACTTTGAAATGTTATGTTAGGAAAAATAGTTTAGTTTATAAAATCTGATATAAATAAAAAATTAGAGTTCTGTCCATATTTGTACCAAGTTCCTTCTAATCACTCTAAAAATCGATTTATTAATGATAAACTGGTTTTCGGGTTATATGTTCAGTAGGGTCTATTAAGGATTGATCCTCAAAATTTTTGTTTGTGTTTATGGAATTCTACGCAAAGTAATTAAAAATGGTCCGTATTCGTCGTACTTTGTTGTATTACTTTCGAATGTATAAAATTATGTACATATATATTGTATGTATTTAAATTGTATTCGGATATTACAAATTTTTGATACCAAACATAAGAATATTTCAGCCTCCCACTGCTCCCACTACTCGAGCCCTATCATTACACGCATACAGACGGACTTAACTAGATCGTCTTAAAACATAATAAGGAACCAGTATATACATATTTACATACATACATATTTCGATGTGTTACAATATTATGATGTTCGATATGAAAAATTAATAATTGACCCATCTAGTTAATAATCTTTTATTATAAATATAGCTTCAGATATATGTATTGAGACCGATCCTCAAAGAATTTGTTGATTTTGTTATTAGACTTATTTATTTCGAAAATGATCGCTTATTTATTAAAATTTTTGAGAATGACTTCAATGGAGACTTGGCTCTTATATGATTATTCATATATTTAAACGAAAAAAAGTTGAAACCCAGAGTCCAATGTTTGCTTTTATAAAGGATAGAACCGCTCTGAATTTGAATTCTCCATCACATCAGGTTTTACAGATATCGCGTCATAAAAATTTAAAAAAAGTCTGTGGCGAAAACATGTTTATTTTAAAAGTTTGTTGTATCATCTGAAAGTCCAATCCGTCGTCTTCTCACCTCTATTATATACTCCTCTTATTTCGAGATATCTTTATCCAAAGTTAAAAAAGTATTTTTATGAAAAAATCTATGAGATATTGCGACATATAAGTTTACCATAAAATAAAGGCGAAATGATGTCTTCGCGCTGTTATAACTGCTCAAATATAGGCGAAAACGGAATTTCTTTGATTTTATAGACACGATATCTCGAAAACTTAATAAGATTCGTATTCAGCGCAGCTCAATTCATTAAAAAATTATACTTTGGTTTCTGGGTTAAAAATTTGATGGCGTATTTAGTGGTAAGCTGATTTTGTGTAATATTTGTATAAAAATTACAGTAAAATTTTAGCAAATAAATTAAGAACTTTTAATAAATTATTACAAATACCTAATATATTGTCATCTTAATATAAGAAAGACGTATCTAACATTTAAATTTTTTTTGGAAGAAATCTTATTAAAATCGAATGGTTAAGATGTAAGAAAAGCTTTACGGCCGTTTAAAATGTTTATTAAACAGTTATTATATGAGAAAACAATAAAATTGGAAATCACATATTCCACGGAATTCTACAAGAAAATGAAAAATATTTTTTAATATGTTAGATACGTCATTCTTAGATTAAGGAGACGATATGTATATTTAAATATTTATGTATGCATGTAGTATTAGTTATTAAAATAATTTATTACAAACTTACCTTATCTGTTTGATTGCCATCATATTTGTCCCGACTATCGCTTGCCCAATTGGCAATGCCTAAAAAGAATTTCATCTCGTTTATAAATAATGTTCACAAATAAGATCAGATTAGCAGATCATAGAAAATACAGATGGATTGAATGGTTTTGGTTTTTGTTGGTTGGTTGAATGTGGATGGATATTAGATAGTTGGTTATCACAGAGAGAACTACAAAATGTGTAGTAAAAAAATAATAATAAATAAGTAAAATCAAAGTAAGAATAATCAAAGTAAAAAGAATTGCATGTGTAGATTGATTCACATTTTTTTTTTTTTATTTTGGATTTAGTGTACTTTGCACAAAAAAATTTACATAAATTCACAATTTGCTTTAAAATGTCAGGTTTTTTTTACTTTTTTCTTGTGTGTAAATAAAAACAAATCACAAAAAAGTCAAAAATAAACAACAACTATCCAAGGTTTAAGTTTTTTGTTGTTGTTGCCGTTACGTTGCTTTTAAAAAATAGATGATTTCTTTTTGTTGGTTTTTGATACAATTTGCGTGCGAGTGGGTGTCTGTAAAATTCTACATAGATTTTGTTTACAAAATATTTATGTTTATCTTAAAGGTTTTTTTCATTGTTTCGTTATGTTTTCACCATTTTCATTTCACTACATTTTGTTTTGGTTTTTTATTCATTTTGATTTTATGTACTGTGTGTAGTTTATATTATTTTTATTTTTTTTATTTAAAGATGCTGTTGTTGTTGATATACTAAAAGATTTTTATGCAAATTAAAAAAATATTTATGTATTTAGGCAAAAAATATCAGCCCTATTTCAGAAAAGTTTGTTCATGAAAATGGTAATTGATGTGATCATAAGATCTCTTCAAACCTGTTCAACTCCTGTTCCACAGTGAGACAGTATCGAATTTTTTGGAAGTAACTCTGCTATTTTTCACAACGCCGTCTTTCAAGCGCTTTTAGTGCCCATTTTCAAAACTTAAACTTTAAACTGCTAGACTGGACAAGACCAGCTGTTTAGAATTGCCAAATTTATTAAAAAAATAAATAAATTCTGTCCCACTCTAATTAACTTGTTCAACTTCTTATAAAGCACAATGGGGCAGAATTTTTCTGAAACAAATCTGGCATTTTGAATCGGTTTGTTCGATCGCAATAGAATTAGACTTGGACGTAATCACAGATAATTCGAGGTTAAACAAAATCTAATTTATAAATTGTTTATAAAATAAAAATTTTGTTAGTGAATAAGGGGGTAAGAGTTTATATGGTCTCCAACAGTATCAAGTATGAGCATTTAAATTCTACAAGGGTATAGCCTGAGTATTTTACAGTATCCACCAGTCAAACGTAACCTCACATTGAGGTAAAACGACAAAGCATAGCTTTCTACAGTTATACGACCGACACTTAAAACTGTCGAAAGACAGGCAACAAGCACAAGGCTGTTCCCCCACCTAGGCCTGAATTACGACTGTCAAATTTCTTCTCAACCGGACCAGCTGTTTAGAATTGCAAAAAAAAAAAACAATTCTCTCTCACTATAATTTAAAAGTGTTTAGATTTTCACCATACTTTAGGGTTAAAATTTTGACTTTTAAAACAAAAATGCTGTACTTTTCTTATGGGAATTTTATAAAATAATAGACCAATTGAAAATAATTTCAATGGATTACATTTTAATCTAAATGAAGTTTCATAAATTCGTTTCTTCACGAACATTAATCTGCTTTTTACATGAATACAACACGAACTTTTAACAAATGACGATCACTTTATAAGTCATTAAATCGATTCGAGAACGTGATTCTGAGTAGTTATTAGGGTGATCGACTCGGTTTTTCAACCGGTTTTAAAACCGGTTTTTTCTGCTTTACCAGTGTCGGTTTTTTCTTAATGTTGATTTTTCGAATATCGAATAACCCGGTTTTTTCACTTTTTAAAACCCGGTTTCGAATACTTTTATTTGCTTTGTATTCAAAGATTATTTAAATGAAATTTTTAAGTAAATAATAATACAGCCCGCCTAAATTTTAAAAATATTCGAGTCGAGGAGCTAACGTATATTTTTCTAAAGCTCCTTTGGTTAAACTTTTTTGATTTTTCTAATTAATTAAAAAAAAAATTATTTGTAAAATTGATAACTGTTTGATAAAATTTTATCAATCTTAAGATTATATTCCAATTACAATTAATTTACGGCTGAAATTTTATGGAAGTGTTGGAATGCCTATGCAAATTTCCTAAACAGGGCTTTTAAAATAAGCTAGGATTACATAGTACCTTATGTTTAACGGAAGTGTCCCACTTTTTTCCTCATTTTTTTATATTAAAGAAATAATGTAAATCAGACGACTAGATCTAAAGTTATAATCTTTTAAACTGTTAAAAATCATTTCGGGCCATGTTTTATTAATCAAATTTAAACATAAACATTAAGTTTTTCAAATTAAAATATATTTTTTTATTTATAATGAAATAGCGGTTTTTTCTGAATTTGAAAAATATCAACCGGTTTTTTTAAATGTCAACTATTCGAAAACCGGTTTTTGGAAAATGTCGAATAATCGATCACCCTAGTAGTTATGTATATTCTGGTATGACAAACATTAGTGCAAACCCTTTGCTTTTCTCCTATTATGATGGTGGGTAGGGTATTATAAATTCTATAAGTTCGGGATTATTAGTCATAATTCTAACGTATTCCAATCGTTTTTCTTCTGCATATGCAATGCTAACAATTAAGCAAAAGTATATATTTTCTTTATACGTTCTCAAACTTCCTAATCAAATAAGTGTGGCTTTAAAATTATCGGATTTTAATGGTTGATTTTTTCAATTTAATAAAAAATATTTGTTTTATAAACAACACTCTAGTGTAAAACGCTTAATGGCACAAAATTATAATTTGAGTACCGCAAATTCGTTTTAATTATTCACGTTTTTTTTTAATTTTTTATTAATTATTTACATTTTATTTAGGCAATACTTAAAACGTAATAACATTATTACGTTTTCCTATAAATTACCAGGTAATATTTTTTTCAGTTTTTCATAAGTATTTTTAATTAATTAAAAATATATTTATACTTTTCTTAAACAGAGCTGATATTATTTGTTAAAAAAATATTAAAAAAAAAAAATTGTCACAAATAAAAAAATTAGCACAACACAAGTTCCAAGTATTTTCTACAACAAGACATAAAAAAAATCACTGAATATATTTTGAATAAATATTTGTATTTTACACTATATACTTGTACTACGCTTAAGTGTAATAATGTAGTTGTAGTTCAATTTTATAAAATCTCATCAACAAAAAATGTATTAAAAATTGTATTTATTTTAAATTATTTATTAAATCACATTTATCTGAGCGGTATATCTTATGGTTCGCGTGTTATTGTGTTTTTTGTTTTGTTGTTTGTTTTTGTTTTCTTTCGTTAAAATTTATTATTTGTGTTTTTTGAATTTGAATTTAGCGTGTTATACGCGACGTTTGACACTCGAAAACTGATTGAGATATTGAAAATATAGAAGACAAAAAAAAAACTGGCAGCAACAGGCCGCTCACAAAATTCGACAACAAATGAAGAAAACAAACTGAACAGTTGTTGTCTACTCATTGTATTACGACTACTACTTCTAATGGGACAACAACATTGAATACTAAATTTTGCTCATATGACTAAAGCCCACTAAATTAGTATAGTCTGTTCTAGCTCATATGTAGGGTATGGATTTGTTGTTAATTTTTTCAAACAATACATACTAATAAATTCGGCTGTGGCACAGGCTAGCAGCATAGTTAGATAGCAAACAAGAAAGTAAGCAAACAACCAGGCACGCAGGCAAACCATTCAACTAGTCAGACCAGCCAAACCCGGCATATTAATGGGGTTTTGCCTCTTATATCTCTCATACAAGAAAAACAAAAACAAAATATAAGAACCTAAATAAGCAAACAAACTAATAAACAATAATTGTAAAATAAAAAACAGAAAAAAACAATAAAAAACAAAATATTTAAATGGTGTTAAAAAAATTAACAAAAAGCGAACAAAATGATTGCTAATAAATTTCAAATTTTAACGTTTTGTTTTATAATTTAACAGTATTTATTTGTTATACACTACAGTGAGAAGGGTATTATGCCTTTGTGTTGATATTTGGAACACTTAACCAGCTTCAAATACGCCATATTCATTCGTCTATAATTAATCAATGACTTGGAATAGCAAGAGTATGATTCCTTCTGGCTCCTAAATTTTATATCCCTAAATAATTTTTATGAAATCATACAGCTGTGAAAATCTGGCCATCATCTGGGTATCTATATAAGGTATCCAAATTTATTTGAAAGTCGGTCCATTATTAAACATAGCTTACGCCGGCCTTTGACAATTTTTGAAATTAGTTTGTGTAAAAAATGACTTAATTTACTCTTATTTTCAAAATAGGTTAACTAAAGAATCTTGATTTGAAATATAATATGCCTTTGTGTTGATATTTGGAACACTTAACCAGCTTCAAATACGCCATATTCATTCATCTATAATTAATCAATGACTTGGAATAGCAAGTATATGATTCCTTCTGGCTCCTATATTTTATATCCCTAAATAATTTTTATTAAATCATACAGCTGTGAAAATCTGGCCATCATCTGGGTATCTGGCCATCATCTGGGAACACTTAACCAGCTTCAAATACGCCATATTCATTCGTCTATAATTAATCAATGACTTGGAATAGCAAGTGTAGGATTCCTTCGGGATCCTAAATTTTATATCCCTTAATAATTTTTATGAAATCATACAGCTGTGAAAATCTGGACATACTTTGTATCTACATAAGCTATCTAAATTTATTTGAAAGTCGGTCCATTATTAAACATAGCTTACGCCAGCCTTTGACAATTTTTTAAATTAGTTTGTGTAAAAAAATGACTTAATTTACTCTTATTTTCAAAATAGGTTAACTAAAGAATCTTGATTTGAAAAAATAAAAGGAAATTAAATTATTTAATTTTATCATAATACGTATTGACA